AAAGCTATTTTAAATTGTAAAGTATTTTGTAGCATACTTTAAGGAGAAGTCATTATTTTGTTTTGCTGCAAAATCAGGGTTGTATCTGGAATTATCAGGATTTTGCAAAGGATTGTATGGTAAATCCTAGTAAATTGAGCTGTTAAATCGAGTTAATGAACATTATCACGATAAAACCTATACACCTAAGTATGTTTTTACACGGTTTGAAAATTGAAAGTTTTTAAAAAAAACTGAGTATTTTTATTTTTTTACACTATTTTATTCCATTTAGCACGATTTGAAATTTTATGTACTTAAATTTTTTGTCAAATTTAATTTTTGCGATGTATGTTCATATCACAAACCAGTATTTATGAAAGAAAAGTGTCTGAAACCATCAATAGTATCGACAGTTTGCGAACACTAACTTAAAGATTTATGTGAATTCCCCTTAAGCACGTACAAACAATTTTTACTGGTCAAATCAAATGTGAACTAGTTTAAGGGAATTCCCTTTTTTACACGGCTTCTTCTGGAACCAATCTACCGTGTAAAAACAGACTTAGGTGTAGTCTAAACGCACCATAAACGATCCTTTTATCATAGTTCGTATTCATTCGCCAGAGCACTATTTTCAATTATAATTTGACAGGTTGACAATTACAAACGATCTTCCATCCATATCTTAAAAACTACCAGATTGATTATTCCACACCTGCATACCAAAATATGGTGTTGCCATACAACAACAAAACTACGATAAAAATAATGTAATAAGCTAAATACATATATCGTAAAAGAAATTTAACGAATGAAGAATGTACTAGAAGAACAACAACAAAAGTTTATTTACAATTTCAAACATAACAAAAACGGACGAACGAACGAACTTGATTACAATGCAGAGAGTGCGAGGGAGAGATGCAGATGTACTCTCCAAAACATTGTTTACACATAGCACATTGATGCTCTGTTTTCCGTGTTGTGTTGTGAGCAAACACAATGATTGTGTGTTTTTTTAATTCGAGTTAATTTAAATGGGAGTGAATTTCTTATTAGAAACATGGTACATGCTTTTGCCCAAAATTTCCGATATATGCATGTATATGATGATGAAGAAGCGAAATAACCAAACAAACGAATGGAAAGAAAAACAAATCAATTTCAATTACTCGCTCTCGCTCCCTCTTCTCTCGTCTATAGCTAATGAATTTCGATCGTTTCGACCGCGTTAGACCGTTAAATGCACATACAACAAATGAGCATAAAACGTGCTACCAACCAACTTAGCAGCCAGCCAACAGATCAAACAACCAAAAGAAAAAAATAAAAGTTAACTTGAGGGAGTTAAATCGTGTTGAATTTGAATTGGTAATAATTGTGTTAATTTGTTATTACGTCTGTGTTAATTTGTGCTAATTTGTTTATTTATGTGTGTGAAGAAGAAGAAGATAGATTTCATTGAATGTTACCATATCTGTGTGTGTAGAGTAGGAAGTGGGGATGATGACGGACATCGGTATGATGTCTAAAGCGATTAAGAAATGCAGCCAAGACGTTTTTCTTAAAAAATAAAAAAGGGGCGTGGCGTGCATTGTACAGTAGAAAAATGATTGTTGATAGGAAGACTGAGTTTGAAAGGAAAATCTTATAAGAAAGTGCCAAATATTGTTGCTCAAGGACAATGGTAAACAATGCTATAAAATATACTTCCTCTAGTGGTCGTAAGATATTCCAAACAAAATAGATATTCCAAACAATAGCTGCTACGGAAATAAAAGACAAACCTTCTGTGAAAGCTAGCGTAGAAACTCTTCGCAGACGTCTTCGAGATTTAAATTTAACGGCGCGAAGCCCTCGAATTGGTGTCATTGGTGATGAAAATTTGCTAAAGGCTTTGTCACACGCGCCATCAATGTCATATGTGCTGTCTGTTCTGTACATACGACATTTTTATGTATGTTTGTCAAAATTGCTTCTTTACATACATTTTTTACTTTTGAGTTCACATGTGTATATGCATTTCTGTTTATTTTTCCCCTTCCACAAATTTAACTTCATTTCTTTGGGTTATTTTCTATCAGAAATTTATTTTCATTTGCCAATCAAACAAATAGAGCGTCCCCTAAATTAAAAAATTACATATGAGTTGTCATATTGTTTTAACAGATGCAATTTTTCGTGTGGACAGTGAACCAAAGCACACCAGCCTTCTTGCAAAACAGTGGTTTGCAGAAAATATAAGTTTATTGGAATGACCAGCACAGTCTCCTGATCTCAATTTCATTGAGAATTTATGGTGTGATATAAAGGCTGTGGTGGGAGCTTGTTAAGGATGAATGGGAGTCATTTGGTAAACTCTATGCCACGACGCTGTGCGGATGTAATCGCGAATTAAGGGTTTGCTACTAAATATTGACTTAAATGCAACACTTTTGAAAAGAAATAACCGACGTATTTTTTTTATTTTGACTGGCTATATTTAAATTAATCTAAATATTTAAATTTTATAAAACAAATGATGATAAAAAATAATAAAGTTTTAAAACGTACTTTATTTTGACCACAGCTGTATGTAGATTGCGCCAATACTTGACCATAATTTCAAATAAATTAACTAATAGACTTTCTTGAACCAAATTCGAATTCAAAAAAAAAGGTTTGACTCGTTTTTTAATCGAGTTAAATTCTAACGGAAAATTTACCACATTTTTTCCTTGTAGTCCTGATTACAATGGTATAGTTTTTTTTGTCTTGTGGAAATCAGTATTTCCGGAGATATTGGGCTCCAAAGTTTCGTTGGGACCCTTGTATTTTCTCATGATTTTTAAAATTTACTAAGGCAATTATTCTGACATTATAGCCCACAACATAAAGATGATGTATGCCAGAAAGAAATTTAACCACCTCTAACTCGTTTGTTATGTGTGTGCGAACATTCTTTGGCGAATGCTCGTTTGATAAGGAATTTGTCACCATAAATTCATTCGTAAAATGACCACAAAACGAAAAGAATGTATTTTAATTCATTCGCGAGCGAATTTTTGCGCACCCTGGCATAATCACAATAACAGCTGTGGTCTATGCCTACTGATATACCACTATCATCATTTGTTTTGTTATTTTTTAAATTGTTGTTGTTGTTGACAATTGTTCCCGCACATTTAAAACAAATCCCTTACGATCAATGAAATCACAATAACCAAACGATATGGTAACATTGTTGCCATTGAAAGACCGTCAATTTGGGTAAACGTTAAAAAGAAAACTAGTAAGTTGATCGTGTATCGAGTGTAAAGTCGGGCAGTTCGTCTTCTTACTGTCGTACGCTAAAGTCCCGGAGACTTTTTCATCGAACGAAAAAAAAACACTACATTGCCGCTGTGTTAAAGAACCACAAATAAAATATAAAAATCGTGGAAAATTATAAAAAAGTAAACGAAAAAGAAAAGAAAATTCGTATTAACAATAAAGAAATGTGTAACCCCCAAAGAATAGAATAAATGCAACTCCCAACCTCCCCCTTAACTACATTTTTTTAATATATGAAAATAATTGATAAGTGTAAAAAGTATTTGATGTGCTCGCTCGCTCGTAAACTTACATAACCCAAACATAGTACGTGTTGCCACCTTGCACCTGTGCTTGCTTTTGCTGGCTAGCAGGTCTGGCTGGCTCGCAGACACAGGCTGGTTGACAAGTGACAGCAGCCAGAAAGAGAGATAATCCGTTCGTTCTCTGGTTCGTTCACTCATTACTCGACAATAATTTTCGTATGATATGGTAATGCTCAAATAAATAATAATAAAAAATCAACAACAACAACCACAACAAAACAAACACACAGCAGATCAAATTGGAAATTCGTCGTTTACTGTTCGTCCGTTCGGTACATTCGTCGTTCGTTCATCATTCTCCTCTTGAAGGGGAATGTCAAAGTTATTTACTTCAGATCGTTCCGTTCGTTCGTTGTGCCGTTGTTCATCAAATCGTTTGTCATATCTTAATTTTACGTCTTACACTTCTGCTGTTGGTGTTTTTATTGTTTTATTTCCAAAAAATCAAATCAAAAATAATTCTTCAACATTTGCTGTTTTCTTCTTCTTCTTCTTGGCTGTTATTCGTGGAAATTTATTTGCTGGCGAATTTGTGTAAAAAAATAAAATAAAGGAATTTTACTGCCGTCACAGTAGAACAATAACAACAACAGCAACAAAAAGGCGTAAATTACATACAACACTTATAATAGAGGGGGGCCACACACTCAGAGAGAGGCAGTGTGTTGGTGTACGATATAGAGAGTGAGCGCAGAAAGAGCTAAAGATAATGTGGTGCAATAAAAGTTAAACAACAAGTACAAGCAAAAGCAAGCAGGCAAATAAAACTTATGCCGAAATCAAAGTCAGTGAAATTTTGTGATAATCTATCATCAGATATTTGTTTTTGTTTCCTTTGGGTATTATAAAAAGATATAAGAATCATCAACTTGGTCTGGCCTCTTGGTCGTCGTCATGATCATTGCCGACAACGTCGTCGTCGCCGCTGTCGCCTCCCCCCCAAATAAAGACAAAAAATAACATGTTTGCGTCAAAGGTAGTAGTTGTCGCGTCGTGTAGTTAAAAGAAAAGAAATTATATTATCAACCGAGTAAAAGGCAAAGAAGGAGGAATAATTTTACACAAATATAAAATAATAAAACATAAACTAACTAAAAGTATTATAAGCCCCTTCTGACGAGCCGTGGAAGAGAGAGAGAGGCACAACAGCAACCACGAAAATAAAATAAGTGATTTGTAAAAGAATAAGATTGAGTGAGTACAACTCAAGTCAACCGATCAAATCAATCAAACAACTCTACCCTACCCACCACCCGCACAAACTTCAACCGATTGCTGCTGCTATTAAGCCCTTTTTTCAACAACAGTACGCCGCGCGCACGCACACAGACGTACGAACGACAAGTTCGCACGCACACTCATCATTGCTAAATAACACACCACAACAGCAGCAATAACATCAATAATCATGGCTGAATCGGGTATCGATTTGGATTTCGACTTCGAAATCGACTACCAATGTCTAATGGATGAAGATAAACTGGAAGAGGTATTACCGGCTGTCAAGGTATCCGGACCTCATTCCGATGAGGTCGAATTCTATGAATTGAAATCGGCCACCCAATCAATCCGCCCCGACAGTATACCCACCTTTAAGACCGTAACTCCCACCTCAAGGACACAGCTAAAATTACAGCTGCAGCGTGAACAGCAACAAGAAATGGAACGGCTGGAGGCAGAGAAACGTGAAGCAGAGGCTTTAGAAATGCAGCGACAACAAATGCAACAACAACGCCAACAGCAGCAGCAACAACAACAAATCTACAATATCCAACAAAGTAGTTCACAACAGATTGTGGCCAACAGCAATGGCAGCCAAAATCGAAATCGTTTCGATACTCACAATTCGCAGAATAGTTTCAACACCACTCCCCAGTCCGCCAGCAGTCCCATGACTTTAAAAGTCCCCCTACAAAATATCGAAGTTGACGTGCCGCAACAGGTGTTGCAGGTGCGCACCGTCCTGGAGAATCCCACCCGTTACCATGTGATACAAAAACAAAAGAATCAGGTCCGCCAGTATTTGAGTGAATCGTTTAAGCAGTCCGAATGGAATGGCCAATTGTTCCAGAATAAAAATACGGGTGCCTCGGCCTCAGCGGGTAATCTTAAGTTAATTGGCGGTGGCAATAATGGCAATCAACAAGATCGTTCCAGCAGCTATAGTGGTGGTATGGTCAACAACAATAGCAACAATGAAAATAACTCACCTCGCCATGTGCGCATAACAACAGCAGGATCGAACACGCCAAATAGTTCGTCAATGATGGATGATGCCATAACATTGTCACCCTTCAGTGTGGGCAGCAATAACAACAACTACTACAACAACAACAATAACCTCAATTCCTCAAACGATCTTCCAAACTCCAAAACAAATGGTAAAAAATCCAATTCCCTGCAAAGCCGCTCAAATCCCAACAACTTGGTCACGCTTATGCGCAACACAAATCTCTTGGCCACCACCAATGGCTCGGGTGCCGGCAGTATTACCAGTCCTCTACACTCAACACCCATGTCGCCCGGCCTCAGCTCCGTGGCCACAAGCAATTCAGAAATTCCCTCCTTTGAAAGTGATGCTGATTTGGATTTCGATGAAATTCTACACGGCTGTGATTCGCGCAACCTTAACGACACCATGAAAATGGACGAGGGCAACAACAGCAATGCCACAACGCCCAGTGGCAGTTATCCCAGCGAAATTCAAGTCAAACAGGAGCCGAATTCATTCAACGAGGTGGAGGCCAGTGCCTTAGCCAAGGATCGCCAGAAGAAAGACAATCACAATATGATTGAAAGACGTCGCCGCTTCAACATCAATGATCGCATCAAAGAACTGGGTACGCTACTGCCCAAAACCAATGATCCCTACTATGAGGTGGTTAGAGATATACGACCAAATAAGGGTACGATATTGAAAAGTTCCGTGGACTACATCAAATGTTTGAAGCATGAAGTGGCGCGCTTGAAACAGAATGAGTATCGTTTTCGCCAGACCGAGGCTCAAAACCGGCGTCTACTCAATCGTATTAAGGAGTTGGAAATGCAGGCTAAGTCCCACGGCCTACCGTTGAGTGATTTCAATGTGACCTCGGTGTCCGCACCAACCAATAGTGCCTCATATTTGAAATGTCCTAGTCCCACGGCAACTGCAGCTACCACAGCAATAGCAGCCTCATCGCTGAATCATCATTCAACGCCGTTAATAAATGAGGCTACAACAACAAACACAGATACCAAACCGCCAACACTTTTAAACGGTGGCGCCAACAATAACAACAACACTAAAAACACTCTCAGTATTAATACCACAAATGAAGATATGATGGAGGATAGTAAACCTGTGATAATACATGGTGACGATCCAATGTTTTCGGCCCAAACCAATGGTAGCCAGCTAATGTCGTCAGCTCCTCATTCACCCATCACCCACAGCAATAACAACAACAACTGCAGCAATAATAACAACACCAGTCTGAGTGGAAGTCTACATGGCTTTGGCTCATCGACGAATGGCAACGATTGTGGTCATCACAATAGCAATCATCATTTATCCATTGATGATTTATATGTTTGTGGTGGCGGTGGTGGTTCCTCAATGCCCTCACCATCTGGTCTGGGTCACAATAACAGCGGTTACAACAATTCACCAAGTTGTTGTGGCGGCAACAATGACAACGGCAGTTCGCTTATGTTGAATGGCAGTTGTTGCAATTTGATTGGCAGCTGCAGTTGCTCCCACAATCATCTGCATTTGGGCAGCCAACATCAACACAACACACATCACCACCATCATCCGAATAGTTCCAGTCTCTTACAATGTCCTCCAAGTCCCAGCAATGGCAGTACTGGCAGCAGTCCAAATTTTGGTTTACTATCGGTTGGTGATAACGGTCATTTGCATTACCACCACCATCATCATCATCATAGCGATAGTTATCCAACATCTCCGTCATCGCTACAACATGGCCGTGATCCATTACTGTCATCTTCACATCAACATACCTTGGACGGGCAAAGTCATTTGGATACTTTGGAGCCAGCACAGCATCATCATCATCATCACAGTGATTTGCATCATATGCGCGATGACAATGATGATCATCACCATCATCATTCGGTAGATCTCTCACATGCCATAATGGGTGATCAATTGGGCATGGTATCAGCGGGTCCAAATGAATCGCTGTTATTGTCACCGGATTCGTTGGACATTGATATGCCTTGACGGTAAATGTTGTTGCTGTAATGTCACAAGACAAAAAAAGAAATACAGTTCCAAACACAAAATTAATTTTTAACACACACACAAGCAACAAAAAAGGAATTGCTGCTCAAATTGCAAGGATTCATGAGTGGATGAAAGAAAATCTTAGGATATATACCCCACCATATACTTTTTTTTTAGACTTTATACATTATTTTTAATAGAGGGGTTTAGTTTTAGTTTAGCTGATTACATGTGATATTAATTTATTAGTTTATTAATTTTTTGATATATTTACCCCTGCAATCTGAACTCGAATGAATGAATGATTGGAAATTTAAATGTAACGATTGTTAGAAGAAAACAATTAACTTTGTTATACAATTATGAACAAATCATGGCCACCGGTTGGCTTTTTAATTTTGGCTTTAATTACTTTAAATTTTTAAACAAAATATTACCTGAAAGCTTTTTCTGTACTTAAATTTGGAAACAGGTCACACTAACCTGTTGCTGAAAAAAAAATTCAAAATGTTTTTTTTTATACAAAATGTTTTTCCTGTTATTGATATAAAAAAATATATTGTATATATTAAATATTTTTGGGTAAATATTCAAGTAAATCAACAGATGAAAATTGAAATATAACATTTTTGATTATATAGATATCTGATGTTCCTTGAAATAAATTAAAAAAATACTTGGGGAATATCTTCTTCCCAGAACTCCCAATATGTCAAATATTCATTACTTAGTTCCAATGAGGTTTTGGATGTTTTTTTATATTCAATATTCAATGTGATGTGAGAGGAGAAGAAAAAGGAACGCATAATCAACATTTTGGCTTCCTCCTAGTGTTAATCCTATGTAAAGACGTCAATGATCGCATCAAAGAACTGGGCACTCAGCTACCCAAAAACAATGATCCATGCTATGAAGTGGTTAGGGATATACGATCAAATAATGGTACAATATTGAAAAGTTTGAACACTTCCAATATGCCAGGAAGGTCCTATATCATATACAGATGATATGCTCCTCAATGATTGGTATATTAGTTTTACAGCTCAAGAATTGTTTCTTGAGCTTTTCAACTTTTCATCAAAATATAATATCTAGTTTAAATTTCAATATTTTTTTTCTGATACAGAAAATCAATGTCCGATAAGAAAGTAATCGTACAGTTAGGACTTTACGTTCATTTTTTTAATAGGCGAAGCTTTTGGTATGTGTACCCCGTTTCGAATGTATGTTAATATTCCCTCCACATCATCTTCCTAGGGATATCACATATGGGTCCTCCTGTCTAGCATGTCATGCCTAAACTCTGTATGAATATTTGACATACTGCTGGGTGATTGCCAAAGCGAACAGCAATATATGCCATTCTAAATAATCAACTAAGGGTTCCTATTGTTGCTATTTCCTGACCAGTTAAAGTATTTTTATTGTAATATATTTATGGTGCTATTATGGATCTATTCCACGTATTTTTTTCTCGATTTTGTAAATATAAAGAAAATTGATGCCAGTTATGTACACAAATATTTATTTAAAAATTTCAAGTCTCAAAAAACACTTCAATTATTGCGTTATTATATTCAAATGTCTGCAGGGTAAATATATAAATAATTCAAGGAATCATTAATAATAATTAAAGTATATTTTATATACACTATCTCAGGTCAATTGAAATAGCTTCTTTTAATTAATTACAAATGTAATTAAATAAAAAATAATTAAATAGATAATTATTAGATAAAACAATAATTAAAAAAATTATTAACAAAATAGTTAAATAAAAAAATAATTAAATAAAAAACAGATAAATAAAAATATTTAAATAACCACTTAAAATTACTTTCAAATGATCACTGCCCTTACAAGGCAAATTTCAAATAACAAAAACAAAAAAAAAAAAAAAAATATTAAATAAAAAAATAATTAAATAAAAAAATAGTATAATAAAAAAAGAATTAAATATAAAAATTTAAATATAACAATAATTAAATAAAAAAAAAATGAATAAAAAAATAAATAACAAATAACTAAATTAAAAAATAATTGAATAAAAAATAATTAAATAAAAAAATAATTAAATAAAAAATAATAATTAAATAAAAAAATAGTTAAATAAAAAAATAATTAAATAAAAAAATAATTAAATAAAAAAAATAATTAAATAAAAATAAATTTAAGTAAAAAATAAATTAATGAAAAAATAATTAAATGAAAAAAATATTTAAATAAAAAATAATTAAATAAAAAATAATTGAATAAAAAATAATTTAATAAAAAAATATTAATTAAAAAAATAATAATTTTTTAATATCATATGTGGTGCCTTATTGTTATTATGAATATCTTTGATAAGATATTTATCATCTGTGTTAAACAAAAACAAAAAAATGTTAACAAATTTTTTAAATATCAAATCAAGCAAGGTCTCAAGGAAATAATTTTTATAACAATTTTTTTTATAAAATAAATTTAAAATCACTAAAAAATTTAGCTAAACTAAAACTACAGCCCTCAATCACCTTAGGACTTATAATACATATACGCATGTACTTTAAACAAAAAAAAAAAACAGAAACAAAATTTGCGAAAGAAATCGAAACGCAAAAGCAAATCAAGAAAACCGAAAAGCAATGACTACTTCATATACATTAAAATTATTATACACATACATACATACATATATACATTTTTTATTATTATTGTTAATTATAAATATGATTATGATTATTTTATTGTTGTTAAGGAACGGCGGCCAAATTACTTTTGACAAATTTTTATTTCTTTGTTTTTTATTAAAAATTTGTTTTGTTTTTGCATTCAAAAATTTTGTATTATTTTTATTTTTTAAAACAAATTATTCTGTTATTTTTTTAGTTAAGATATTTTTTATTTGTTTTGTCTGTTTAAGTTAGTGAAAAAACCTTTAGAAAAAACACATACAACAAAAAGGCATTATTTTTTAGGTTTTTAAAACAAATGTTTACCAAAATTAAAAAAAAAAAACAACACAAAAAGAAAACTATGTTAATAATAGTCGTTCCAACAGTATCTTGAGCGCGATTCTTTGTAACAATGATAGCGTCAATTAAAAAAAAAACAGTTAAACAAATTAGAAAAAATCCCCATATAGCTGTAGTTTGTTATATGTATGTACCATAAATATAAAAAAGCAATGAAGAAAAAACAAACAATTTTTTTTTGTGGACAACGACTATTTTTTTTCGTTGAAATCAAATGCTATATTATAGTATATTTTATGTTTTTAAAACTGTCGATGCCATTTCGATATTTTGTCATCGATATTGGTTTTAATTTTTATTATTATTTTAATTTTTCTTTGTAAACTCTTAAGAACAATTGTTGATTATTTTTATTAAGAAAAAAAAACATAAGTTAAAAAAACATATATTTAAAATACAATTTTAAAATTAAACAAATTTTAATTAAATGAAACTTTGTTTTATTTTTTCTTTCAATTCATCATCATCTTTACCTATTTCAAATTTTGCAAAGTAAGTTCTATGCATTTGCCACAACAACTACAACAACAAAAACACCATCATAAATTTATTTAATTACTGGCCATTTTTTCTGATATTGTTGCTGTTGTTGTTGTTGGTGGTGCTATTTTTGTTAGATTTTGTGTGTGAGTGTGCGTTTTTGTTGTTTTATCTACAAAAGTATAAAACGTGTGTGCTATTGGCGTCTGGAGCTAAAGAGAGACCGATCGCCAGCGATCGTCGTGTAGTGGCAAAGCAAGTAACCAACCCTATTATAAATCATCAATCAAATAGTATTAATATTTTTTTTATTTTCAAGATTTGATTTGTGCTTGCCTTGAAGAAAATCGATTCCATTCGATAATAATAAAGAAAAAATGGTGAAAATTTATCTAACAAAACTCTCAACACTCCCTACGAACAATTCCTCCTACCCCAATCAAGCAACACCTAAACCTATTTTGAGAAAACCACACACTGCACGTTTCTTTTAGAAGAAAATCTAATATTTACTCTATTTAAGAACATTTTTTTTTGGTTTCTCATGTTAGCCGGTAGGTGACGACGACTCTTGTACATATTTGTTAATTTAATTTCTTTTCTTTTTTTGTGTTATCACTGACAACGTACTTAGAATTAAGATAATGCATGGGAATATCATAAAATGACAATAGCTGAAAATTTAAAGAAAAAATTTACCACTTGAGACACAAGCATGTGGAATTTAATAAATTCAGGTTTTTTTTTCTAAAAATAATGCACAGTAAGATAATAAAAAAATACATAAAATTCTGCACGTGGAGGAGGAATTTGAGATATTGCAGTTTGATATAAACCACGCGTAGCATTTGCCGCTTCTGTTGGCTTAAATAGAGCAATGGTGATAATGCTGACAAAGGCTATCTGATTTGAATCTACAAGATAGCTTTACCTTTACTAGCCTGCACTTTTTTCAGGGTCACTCAACTATTGTCATCATTCCCACATGCCTTTAAAATCAAATATTAGGAAATCCAACCCGGTTTCCTAATATTGACAAGAACACTTTAGAATCTTGATCTCCCGGGCGAAGATCAGGATTCTAAAGTATTATTGTGAGAAAGTAGTACGAATAATCGAGCTAAAAAGCGAAAGATAACGAAACCTATCAGTCATTCTGTGAGAATTACTTGTTAATTTTTTTTCAAACTAGTTTGCATTAAAATATATATTTTATAGTTTTTCATTTTGTATTCAAATATTTTTCGTTCTCTCAAATAAATTCGTTGAAGGTTTTTTTATTTTTTTACTACTTTAGTGGCTCGAGACAGAACATTTGTTCCACAAGCCAAACTTAAGAAAGATTTCCATGCACGTCGATCTAATGCGCAGGTTTTCCAATGTTTTGAAATGTCATCTTATTCTTCTCATTCATTCGCACAACATGGCTTACACATCGTAGTTGCTGCAGCTCGGTACGTCTGACTATGTAGATGTCCGAGAATAGACGGTGCAACTAAT